ATTTTTGAGCCATGAAATCATACTTTACACTTTACTATCAAAATACTGCACACATATTAACTATTCAGTTTTAAATTCTGACTACTATGTACATGTATGCAGTTAAGATTTGGAACACTGTCATTACCCCAGAAAGTTCCTGTCCAGCTAGCTAAATGACCACTAGTCCCAGAAGCAACCACTGTTCTGATTTATATCACCACAGGTCAGTATTGTCTGTCTAGAACTTCACACAAATAGAATCACACAGAATATGATTTTTGTGTGCCTGGTTCTGTTAGCATAATTATTTTGGGATTCATCCACATTATTGCATGTATCAGTGTATCTAATTCCTTTTAATTTCTGAGTGATATTCCATTGTGTACCACAATTGGTATTTATCCACTTAACTGCTTTTTTACATTAGCACTATTTCCAATTTGAGGCTATTAAAAATAAGGCTCCTGTATTATTTTTGAAGTCTTAAAAAAAAAAACATATTTTCAAGCCAGGCTGGTGGTTCATTCCTGTAATCTCAGCCCTCTAGGAGACTGAGGCAGGAGGATTGCAAGTTTGAGCCCAACCTGGGAAACTTGGCAAGACTGTCTCCAAAGAATAAAATAGGACTGAGGATATACCTCAGTGCAAAGGGCCTGGGTTCAATACCCAGTAAGCACACAAAAAGATTCATTTTTTAGTATACACTCAGCTGCCTGATGAAAATTATGGATTTAATATTTTTTTGACTCAGCGGTCCCACTTGTAGAAATCTAGCATGTATATATCTTCTGCAGTACAAGGAATTTGTGAAAACCTGTGAGCACTTAATAATTATAGAAAGCAAGCAGCTAGGAAAAAAATCAGTCATCATCACTAACGCTATTCATGAATTCTTCTCCTTGAAAATGATAATTAAAGGGCAAAGCATTTTCCTGTTTCCTCAGGACAGAATGTTTTTCAATGCAACAAGTAGATAGAATTGATTAAGGGAAGCTCTTCTTTACCAAGGAATGGCAGCTAATAAATGCAAAGGAAATGAAAATGTTTGAAAGATATCTAATGAATATCAATTAAAGCAAACATTGTTAAATGGATTTGACTATTACATGAACAGCTGAGCAAAGAGTTTACATCTATATGGAGTTAAATAGCTCCACTCAAAATACTTTCTGGTTCCTAGGGGGGAAACTTCACTTTATAGAAGCAGAAACAAGAGGTCGTCCTAACACCTAGGGGAGGAAAATGCAGAACACTGCCAGAAAATTCCGTCTACTCCTTTCTGGCCAATTCCTGCCATTCCCAGAGGCCATCACTGTTCTGATTTTCATCTCCATAGATTGGCACATTCTGTTTTAGAGCTTCTTACAAAAGGAGAGGTACAGCTGGGGTGGGGAGGGTGCAATCTCAGCTTTTTGTAAGGCTGAGGCATGATAATTGAAAGTTGCAGCCTCGCCTGGGCAAACTAGCGCTATAGCAAGGCTCTGTCTCAAAATTTTAAAAAGTCCTGGTGATGTGGCTTAGTCCAAAGACCCTGGACTCAATCTGCAGTACCTTAAAAACAAAAGCAAAACAACAGCAAGCAAACCAAACCAAACAAATAACAACAACAAAACAGGCATACACGATGTGTTCAGATACTCTGAGCTTGAGTAATGATAGGCACTAGATGGAAAGCATTTTTTAAATCTAATGCCAAATAAACACATTACAACACTCAAGATGTATTCTAGACTAAATGTATTAATAGGAGTCAACCAAATTTCCAATTGGCAGAAAATATAAAGGACAGAAGGCTGGACAATGTAAGAAAGCAATGGGACAAACACTGTATGAGGAAATTAATAGATTGTTTTTAAAAAATATGGGAAGAAAGGAGCTAAAGGTGTAGGGAAGGTGGGATGGGTAGGGGAAGAGTAAAAAGGGAAAAGAAAAAAACGTGAGAGAATGAAAAGATGAAAATAAAGTGTTTGTAGATGGGGAGGGGAGGAGGGAGTGAAGGGAGGGCAGAGGTAAGGGGAAAACATGAGAATCAAGACTTGTCATGTAGAGGTACAAGATCCCAACAATGAATGTAACTGTACTGTATCCCTAAAATGTACCAATAAACTCAATTAAAGCCGAAAAAAATATATTGTTTTATATTTTAAAATACCTAAGCAGTATATAAGCTAGATATAATGCATGATCCTAATTTAATCCGGATTTGGATAAGCCATCTTTCAGGGAGGTTCACTGGGGTAATTTGGAGATGATCTGAGGATTACATGTAGTGAAAATTTATTGAAAGAGAATCACTAAAACACACACAGTTGTGATTTGGAGATAGTCTGCCCCTGCAAAAGCCACTGCCGATGTAACAGTGTTGAAAGAAAGTGGGAGCTGTAAGAGGCAATTATGTTATGAGTACTGTACTCACAGGAGGATCAGTGTTGCTGTCACAAATGTGGGTTAGTTATCATGAGAGAAGATTATTAGAAAAGAAAGTTTGGCTTTTTCCTGTTTCTTTTCTCACCATGTGATCTCTTTCACATGTACCTACTTTCCTTCTGCTTTTCCAATCTACATGAAGCAGCATGTTTTTCACCAGAAACCAAGGAGAAAACAAGGTGGTCCATGCAACGGTGATCCAAAATAAACTCTTGCCTTTTCAAATTGTCCAGCCTCAGTCATTATATAATAGCAACAGGAGAAGAAGGATATAGATAGGTAGTTTACAATTTATGATCTCATATGAGTTTAAAAAATATGTATGCAAAAAGATCTGGACAGGGGATGGGGAAAAAATAAGAACCAAGGTATATCATGTAAAGGTACAAGATCCCAATGATAAATGTAACTGTATTGTTTGGTTGTTTGCTTTAAATGTACCAATAAACTTAATGGGGGAAAAAAGATCTGGAAATTATATATATATATATATATATATATAATAAAAAGTCAACAGTTATAACTGTTGGTGGGTATATTCATATTTTATTGCTGAACTAAAAACATCAAAACTTGGTGGCTTATGAAATACATGCTTACTTACTACCTTACAGTTCTGTACATCAGAATTTCAACATGGATCTCACTGAACTAAAATCAAGGTTTGAACAGGTATAATTTCCTGTCAAGCAGCTCAGAGGTTGACTCCTTTTCCTTACCTTTTTCAGCTTCTAGATCCCTCCTGCACTCCCTGCCTCATAGCACCCTTTTTGCGGCTTGTGTTGAGATGTCCCCCCACCAAAGCCTCATGCCATCTTTTGCAAAGGTAGCTAAATCTGGAATGTGTGATGCTAGGGTTAAGGGCGTGTGGTTACTAAACCAACCAGTACAGGTAAGTGATTGGGTTGGCACTGCCCTGATCCCCAGTAGTCTGAATAAGATAAAAGGAGCAGAAAGACACTGTTAAGGTCCCTTGTTACCTTTGTTATCTTGTGCCCACTGTGTTGTTTCTCCTCTATGAGGCCTGTTTGCCATCCCTGTCTTGGAGCCAGCTGACTATGGACTGAAACCTCTAAGAACTGTAAGCCAAATAAACTCTTACCCTTTTAATTTTGGATGTTGGGATTTTTGTCTCAGCAATGAAAGAAAATAACTAAAACAACCCTCCTCCATCTTCAAAGCCGGAAATATTTGATCCTTCTTGCAGTATAGCACTCTGGGCTTTTCGTCCACCCTCTGCCACCTTTAAGGACCCTTGTGATTACATTTGGCTCACTTGGATGCTCTAGAATAATCTTTAAGTCAACAGAATATAATCTTAATTCAACCTGCATTTTACTTTCTCTAAGCCAGGAGGCCTAACATATTTATAGGTTCTGGGGATTAGTATGTAGATATCTTTGAGGTGTCATTATCCAGTCTTCCACAGTGGAAATACAGTGTTTTATTGTTAATCTGTAGTTTCTGACTTTCTACAATGTATATATCTGCTCCTGTACCAAACAAAAGACAACTGTTCATTTAAAAATAAGTATAACAATGGAAGATCAAATAATGCAAGGGGTAAAATTGTCCAGATGAATACACACCTATAAGGACAGAGAAAACATTGACCTGATCACTGCGAGAATAGATACTGACAGCTTGGAAAGTTTCCACTGAAAGAATCATTAATACTTTAGTTCAAACAATATATGTGAAAAGGCAGATCATTTCTTTTAAAAAATGTTATCCATCAAAAGTGACTCCAGCAACGACAAGGACACTGTGGCCAAAGATTCATGTGAAGAGCATGCATACGAATTTTCATAAGATGTAAGTGCGAGTCCCACCTCAGTCACTTCCTAGCTGTGTGACCTTGGGGCAATTATCTAACCTTTCTTCACGTCAATCACATTATCTATGTGATGGGATTAATAACTGTACTTTCCTCATGAATCCTTAGAGATTAAATGACAGTACTTAGGACTTAGAGCTGTGCCTCGCACATGACCAACACTCCATATGTACCAGTTATTAACGATTATTCTTCAGGCAGATGTTTGTAGCCATCTTTCCCGGATGGAAAATGATAGTACTTACATGCCACCACCTCAAGGAATAATGGGCGTCACATGCTGATTATCACTGGGGTTTTTACACCTGAGCATATGAAATAACCACCCTTAGGGATCACTGCCGAACTCTTCCTCAGGTTCAGGTTCCCAGGAAACACCCCTAGCATGTGACTAAATTGTATTTTGAAGAATTAACCGTTATTTAGCTCAGCATTGACAACATGTCAAATGGTGCTTTCAATTGTGGGGTTCTTACGCTTGTATCCTGGTGGAAAGAATGGTCTAATGATTTGCTGGTTTGACAGCTTGGCGATAAAACAAAGAAGCTGTCCAGATCGGTGAGACAGTGGCATCAACTGCGTGATATATTCCCTGCGTACGGTGGATTAATATTAAACCAGTCGTATTCCATGGGTTGTTGAGTCAGAGTCAATCAGGCATAACCCAGAAAAGCACTGTGCACATTATAACATGCAGATTAAATAAAACAATTTATTTAAAGAACTGTACCATCAATGAATTCCAATGGATCAAATAATATTCCAATCATTTCTTTTAATGTTTAAAGCTGGAAGGGATCATAGAGCATATTTAACCCTCAAACCAGGTCAAGAGTCCTACCTGCCATTGCTAGGATGTTTTTTATTTATTCTCTGCAGGAGTACTCAAAGCTTTAAATGTGTTCCTATGCCCCTAGTGTCTAAGACCTGCTCATGGCACTGAGAGCCAGAGCCACTTTTTCCCTGCATAATCTTTTTGCATCACAAGAGCCATGATTGATGATAAGAACCCTTTGAGCAAACACTGATAGATTACAACCTCAGTTCACTTCACAGGGCAGGAAACTGATGTCCAGTGAGGTAAAATAGTTTGTCATGTGAGCTACGTGACTGCAGAGCAGGTCCAACACCTAGGCCTGTATGAGCAGCTGGAGAATCTGGCTACTGAAGACTGCATTCTTTAGTTCTAGGTGATCTGCAGAAGAGCAATGAAACAACAAAAAGATGAAAATAAAATCTACAAGGAAAGGTGGAAGAACCTGAGAGTGTGGCTTCTTCCTACCTTGGTTTGAATGTATTTGCTCCAAAATCCAGGTGTTGCCAATATGATAGGATTGAGAAGTCTGGCCTTTGGGAGGTAACAAAGTCTTGAAAGTTCTGCCCAGGGAAATGCGATCAAGACAAGATTCTGGGTTAGGTGTGACACAGGATACCAGGAAGCTAAGCACTTAAGGACTCCAGGCTCTCACTGAGAAGACAGGCAGGTTGAAACATCAGGGTCAATCCTATTTTCACAGCACTTGTCATGTTCTCATTCTTGCACATACATTTTCCTGTAAGCTCTTGTAAGCTCCTTGGCAAGTATGATCTATCCTCTTTTATAGATCAGAAAAATAAACCACTGATCAGAGACTGCTTTGGCCCAAGGACAGAGGCGCAGTAAGTGGACACCATCTTCCTAGGCCCATATTCATCACACAGGGACCGTAGTTTACAACAGACACTTGGCTTTTTATGGCATCTGCAAATGCTTTGGGGATATTTACACTGTACATAGTAAACTGTTTGACTACCCAAGGTTATTTCCATTACCAAGATTGGTTTTTTAAAGAGGAAGTTTATATGAAAAACCATTTGTAGCAGGGAAGAACATGGCAGGACAATGGGGAAAGCAAGAATGAATACAGCATCATATACAGCTTTACCAAAGATTTTTCAACTGTAAAAACAAATGTTCATTGTAGAAAAATTTCGACTGTAGAGAAAAACAAAATGAAGAGCCTGCACTCTCATTAACAAAAGGAAAGTGGTGTTCAGCAATCCTTACTCCCTCAATTGCTAAGGTAGAGCACACTATAAAACTTGACAATGTACATTAGGCTTCCGAATATTCTTTAGTTTGAAATATCTAAGTGATAACATTTTTTTTTCAGTCTGCAGAGTATGACAGTAGACAATGAAAAAGATGCTAAGAGCTTTCATATCTGAAGTTTCTCAGTTACATTTTGGAAATGAAGTCAGGGTGAAGCAGGATGTGGGGAGTGTCTTTACTGACCTATTAGCATTCTACCAACCGAAATATTTGATCCTGCCTGCCCCAAGGGCTCCAGTGCTGTGACTGATGTCTTTGATCTTGCATCCCATCCTAGCATATGGTGTTACTAAGCATAATCAAAGTGCAAATCTTCATAGAAAATTACAGAGACTCTGAAAAAGGGGGAATAGATGCTTCCTTCCTCTAATTTCCTTCTCTGCTATGTTCTTGGTTTTAAGTTTTAAAAAAATGGGCTTTTGATGAAATCTGCAAACACTTTTGGGATATTTACAATGTACATAGCCAATTACTTAACTGTCCAAGATTATTTCCATTACTGAGATTGACAGTTTGTTCTGGCCAGGATAGAGCCACAGTTCTCAGCAGCATGGGTAAGGAAATGCCTTCCTCTTTGGCTCTAGACTGACATAAGAATAAGGAGACATCTGTAGCTCCAACAAAATGAGGAGGGGCTTGACACATGTATAACCAGGTTTTGGATATAAATCTTTGAAAATGTACAAAATGAGTTGCTAATCCTTTAACCCAATATTCTTCTAGAGTATTAAATTCCAATGAGTTGAATGATGTCCCACTAATGAAATGGAATACATTCTCTAAAGTTTCCAAATGTAATAGATAATGTTTCAAGATTCCTTAATGGAAGGGATCTTACAGAGCATTTAATCCCTCTTCCTCCAATTAAATCAGTAGTCTTCTCTGGCTTTGTGGGGTTTACTACAAATGTCTTTAAGCCATTAATTATAACAACTAAGATCAAGTTCTGAGAAAAATAGTAATTTTTTTCCTGTTAGTGGGGAATTGAACTTAGGGTTTTTATACCAAGGTATATCCCTATCCTTTTTGTAAGTTTTCTATTTTGAGACAGTCTTTCATTAAATTGACCAGGCTGAGCTCGAAATTTTGATCCACCTGCATCCACTTTCCAGAGTACTGGGATTACAGGCATGTACCACCACGCCCAGCTAATCCTTTAAGAATTAAATTCCGGGACAGGAATTTAGCTCAGTGGCCCTATGCCTGCTTCACAAGTGCAAGGTCCTGAGTTTGATCCACGGTACAAAAAAGAAAAAAAAATTAAATTCCCTTCAAAATATCGGTGAGTTCACTTAAGAGAGTAGGTGAAATTTTCTGTTACATAAATTAAAAACAAAACTCATATGGTGTTGAGGTTGATCCTCTTTTTCCACTTAATCAACATTTTGCTGTGAAGTTTTGGCGACTGCGACGAAATTGGAGTTAGGCAAGCTTGTGATTTGGAATCACCTGGACCCAGAAGACTTCATGTATTCTTTCCCATGGTTCCTTATTACTGTGCCAAAGACTTACATAAATTGTCATTATTGCAGGAAAAATATACAGCCAAAACACCAATCAGAAAGTCTAATCGGAGCCTTTCCTTTTCCCCTTTTCCCTCTCCTCTTCTCTCCTCCACACCTCTCCCCTCCCACCCTCTCTCCCTCCCTTCCCTGACTTCCTTCCTTCCATTTCTTTCTTCTTCCCTTGCTTTCTTTTTCCTTTCCTTTCCCTCCCTCCTTTCTTCTCCCCTTCCTTCCCCTCCCCTTCGATCCTCCCCCCTCTCCTTTCCTTTCCAGATCTTACTTTACCTACCTTGGAGGTTGAGGCAAAAGGAATTCAAGTTCAAGCCCGGCCTGGGTAACTCAGCAACTTAGCAAACTCTGTCCCCCTGGAAAAAAAGTTTGTAATGGGGAGGGGGGCAGATGATGTAGCTTAGTACAAAGGCCCTGGGTCCAATCTCCAGTGTTGAAAAAGACAGGAAGGATAGGAGAGAAGGAGGAAAGGGACAAAGAACCAAGGAAGGGAAGAGGAGGGAAGGGGAGGGGAGGGAGGGGAAGAAAGAGAGGGAGAGGGAGAGAGAGACTGGCTAACGGAGTACGGAGAAGTCCCTGTGCAGCAGGAGGGCCCCTGCATAGCTGGGCAGGTTGTTCACAGCTGTTGTCCCTCCTGTGTATTCAGTGCTCACAGCTAACTGGCCAGTGCCTCACTGTACCAGTTGTTACATATGTGATCCCCCAACTGGCCCCATTAGTCGGACACATAGATGAGTGCAATGATGAGTATGAAGATCCACTGGCAGAAAACCTGGGGTCAGAACCCCACAGTTCAGGCAGTGATTGGCGCTCTGCCAGTGCAGCAGCAGATCATTCAGAAGTTAGCTAACTTCTCTAGTCCTTAGCATCCTCTTCTCAAAATTGGGCATATGAATAATTCTCATCTAATTGATATATTAATATAAAACCAGATACTAGATATGAAAACATTCTCATTTTAAGAAATAATTTCAAAGAAAAACAGTAGTTACACATATTGAGAAAACATGAAAAACTACAGTGAAAACAAAATTATTTTCTCATCATCTAAAGCCAATAACTATTAACATTCTTATTTATTTTTATGAAAATGAAACTCAGCATCTGTTACTGAATGGCCCAAAAATGATATAAAGCAAGGCTATTACCCTTCCAGATTGGTAGGACTATAAATGGCTAAATAAATACCATTAGTGTAGTATGTAGAAATCCAAGTAAGAGAACAGCAGAAATTAGTACCATAAAGTACAATTGCAGGTCTGGCTCTTAGAGATGACAAATATTTTAATACTTAAAAATGAAGATACTTTTGTGCCTGGAGCATTTCCTTAGGTTACTGACTCCATTGAATTTTAGCAAAAACATTGTATTGATGTTATAAAATTTCAGTTATATATAAACAAACTCTGCACTGTAACTATAAACAGCCTGAGGATTTGCCTTATTTCCTAAGTCATTATTTTCAGTCAACATCTGCCTTTCCTTTTTGCTTTTCCATAAAGTCTATAGTTTCAGAGAACTGTAGTTCTCATAGATACACTAACTGCTTATACATTTTATTTTCAAAGAATCAAGTTGCTATGAGCTGATGAATTTTCCCCCGACATAAAAATTCACATTGTAAAGGGCCTGAAACTCATACAGCGTGTGCTTTCTAAAAAGTTTTAGTTCTCTCTTATTTTCCTTTCAAGTAATAATCATGGGGCCAGGGATGTAGCTCAGTTGCACCGTGCCTGCCTCACAAGCACAAGGTCCTGGGTTCCATTCTAGTACCAAAATAATAATAACAATAATAACAGTAAAAACAAAAACAATAGCTATTACATTGCCTTTACCTATGATGGCACTGTGTCCTGGACCACTGATGTATATACATTTATTTCCTTAGCCATGCTGAGTTCTCTGAAGATGTGGGTCTTTTCTCATTCCTCTTTCCTCCTAAGAAAATATTGAAATGCCTCAACGAGTCCTTAAAAACTCTAGATCAGTGCTTCTAAGCTGAAGTTTTCATCAAACATACCTGGGATAGGCTAAGTAAAATCTGTAGGTCCTGTTCTGAGGGTTCTATGGGGCTGGGCCTCTATTTTTTAAGACCTCTTCTGTAAAACAGAGATAATCATATGTGGGTGGAGGCACCCACCTGGAGGAGTGGGGAAGTACACTTTGAGTGTGTCTTGGTGAGTTCTACAGGGGTGATCTTGAGGTCCATATCTGGTCCTACCCCTTCCTCTCAGAAGCTCCCCCGCCTGTGCTCTGTTCCCGGTTGCCATGAACCAAGCAGCTTTCCTCTACCACACCTGTCTGTCCTGATAGTCCTCCTTGGACTCAGCTGATCATGGACTGAGTCCCCCGAAACCATGAGCTAAATTAAACCTCTTCTCTGTTAAGCTGTCGGTGTTGGGTATTGTGTCCCAACAACAGAAACTCTAATACATCATAGATTCTACTGTACAGTGTGGCTACAAAAACAAATTAATTCTTTTACATTAGCTGCTCAGATCACTGCCTGGCTCTCAGTATATACCACATAATTGTTAGTTATTATAATTGCTATTAGCAATTGATCATCCCTACTCCACAAATGCAAAATTCGGAACACTAAAATCTGAATTTTTGTTGAAAAACTTTCAGATTTCAGAACATTTCAAATTTTGAATTTTTGGATTAGGGGATGCTGAACAAGTAAAAAAAAAAATCTATGGAACTATTCCAAAACACAAAAACTCCAAAATCTAAAACACACCTTGTTCCAAGCATTTCAAATTAGAAATTTCCAACCTGTATGATCAGCTGATTATAAATAGATGTTTTGAATTACTATTAGTTTCCTCAAACCTGAGCGACATATAAACCATCTACTGAATTTACAAACATAGATGCTGTGGATTTACTGCCCAGAAATTCTGATTTAATAAGGCTGGTATCTAGCCAGAGACCTACATTCCTGTATTTCTCAGAGGGAGCATTGGCAGATATTCTGTAAACCAGCAGTTGTCTCATTCACACTCCAGGTCTCCAAGGAAAAGGAACTTGTCCCATAGGCTAGGACTAAGATGTGCTCATTCACACAAAGATAATTCTGGGGGTCATTTACTATCATGCAGAGAAACCCCTGAGGACTCTCCAGTTTCCTACTTAGAATGTGTCAGGGGCCACACTGGCTGTCTGGAGGTGGCTCATGACGGGGAGGGAACAGCTGCCTTCCCTACAAGCTGCCCTGGGCAAGCTCCAGGACGCTACTCTAGCAGGCTTGGCTGGCCCTACCTCTTGACCCTGCTGCAAGGGAGCTTTAGCTACAGCTCTCCTCCCCTGACTCATCTTGTACCAAGGCAGTGTCTGGGCCAACTCATTCCAGCCCCTGAGGTTACTGCAGATATGGCCTGGAATCCTCCATGCCTTTCCAGGTTAAGGTGAAGGGAGTGACAAGTTCCTCGGGAAAACATAGGAGTACATCCCCAGTGAGCCCAAGAAGATGCCATGCTTGGGCAAGAGCACTGAGAGCCCTTACACCACACTTACATGTCAGAGAACAGCCCAAACTTGCCTGTCTGTGCATCTGACCTCTGAAACTACCCCCAGTGCATTTGAAATTTAAAGTGCAAGCTTCCAAAAAATGAAATGAAAAAACTGTTTCACTTCTGAATAGCACTCCTTCCTGGATTTCCAGTTGTGACAATGCTAATTATACATGTAAGTATAATCAATACTTAAATCTCCTGGAACCTGATCAAGCCTAGATCTATCTGTTAACAAAGACATTGCTTAATTAAGAGATAGTTATTTTGATGGAGATGACTATTGCCCTTGCTTTTACTGCAGTGTTACTTTTCATGGAAAATTAGTTCTAGTCTATGTTATAGTAAAAAAGAATTTACATTTCCAAAAACATGCTTTCTTTCAAACTCCGGCCCGTCAAAGCACAGAGTTTGGGGTGGGAGCCCACATTGCTCTGGTCAGGGGTGGTGCTGTATGTATAATATCTATATGATCTATATGAATATGCTCCTAGGTAAATACCATGGTCTGGATGCTCTGGCCACATTTGACCAATCCTGTGATTGGATCACAGATTTTTAAAGACCTGGAAGGCATAGAACCAAGGAGACATTCTCCTTGCACAACAGCCACTCTGTTTATTTAGGAAGAGATTTCTCTGGATGTGGCAGTGCAAATAGGATGCATTCAACTGCCTGGTTGAAATCCTTAAAGGGATCAAGGAAGTATTTATTTATATATTTCCGTATAAGCTAGGTCACCTGATGCTGGTTAAAGAATGCAAATGTTAGCAAATGCCGTCTCAGTGATGAAGATGGAAGGAAGATGTGGAAGTTCCTAAGTCCTTCTCTTACATGTTTTCAGGCTTCCTCTCCTGGAGGGCTTGCTCAGCTCTAACTAGGTAACACCACTCAGCGCAAGCTCACACTCCCCCCACTTGGGAAGCCTGCCTGGGCCAGCCTAGGTGCCCCTGGACCAGGTTTCCCTCACCCATCCCCAATCACCTGCTGCTGTCACTGCTCCCCGATCATTGGCCTCTCCACCAAGCTGCCCTGAGTTCTAGCTCTGTATCTTATCAACCACTCCTGCCATCCTCATCCTAAGATTTGGCACCAGGCAGGTTCTCACTCACTTTTGTTCTGTCAGCAGCAGCAGTAAACATTCTAAGCAATGTAATTTTGGAGTTGCTATTATAATTCTTCATTACTGGGGTTTCAAGTGCTATTGGATTTGAATAAAATATCACTGCAATGCCTAAAAATTGGTCTGAAAATAATTCAAGCACATGAGCATGTAGCACTAAAGAAAAGGAAACCACGGGGCATGTGGTAAAGACACCGCATCAATTTATTCCAAAGTATTTAAATATCATTCATTTGTAAAGTCAGTCCCATGCACTCACCTTTAAAAGGGGAATATTTGTTTAAAAGAAGTTACACTTTTCAAGAAGAAATTCAATTGCACACATGTGCTGTTGTCACTTTATAAATTTCAAAATCTTACTGTCCCTAAAACTAGATGGAAGTTTTGAGTAATACCTATCAGAAACTGTTCACACGCACTTGAAGAAGAGCAAGCTATACCCATTGTAAACAGCATCAAGTACATGCAGCAGATGGGTTACTTCGAGAAAACAGGAGTAATGGAAGATCAATTGTCTTTTGACATGAAACCCAGGACAATGTTATTTCCCCAGCAGCAATTGAGGACTACTGGTGGAAATACCAAACCCTGGGTAATGATACCAAAGTATAGAAGGTAAAAAATATTGAATACTTTCAGAGATCTCATAACTTTGTGTAAACCAGGGGTAGCTATAAGTGATGGGACGGTTAATCAAACTCAAGTGGCTCTCTAAGGGCCCTCACGTACTCCGCAAGTTTTCTGTGAAGGATCCAGAAGAGAAGAGGCTTATGAAAGGGGTG